GTGACCCTCCAACCCATTTTGAGGCACTAACATGAGCCTCATGAAGAACTGGATGGACTGGGAGGGGGGAACGGTGTGCATAAGTATGCATTCTTGATCAGGTATGGTCCAGCTCATTGTCTCCTTTTGGTTCTGCAAGATGGGTTGAAGGAACCTTCTTCTTGGAGGGTCTCCGTCTGGTTCCCATAAAGTGATTAGTTCAAGCGTGCAGCCTCACTGTGACAGATAAGTACCCTCCCTTGTGAGGGTAACTTGTTTTGTGAAGTTAGCAGCGGCTCCAGTCATTTTCATCTCTTGTCATGAAGATGCTTACCCATCAGGCCTGAGAGGGTGACTCCAAAGAAAAGGTACCAGAGACAACAACAAAGCCAGAGATGGACAATGTGACCATTAGGCCAGTGGCTAGTTTGGTCTAAAGCTGTAATCAGGGTGTCTGAAAATTCTTTGAATAAAAAGTTAGCTGTTGGGAATGTAGGCAATGGAGAGACTGTTGAGCCACTGAGCTCTAGCTGTGAACTGAGACACGTAATATAGCCACAAAACTTCCCTGGGGATACTGCTGAGGCTTGGAGGAACAATTGGGTGTCACACCAAGGAATTCACGTTTCAGTGATGTGTGCTCCTTTGCCGACTTGTCGACTTCGAAACCACAGCTCTCATTTCAGAAAGAATGAGAGAGAGTTTATTCTGGAGCCATTATGAGCAACTGTGGCCCTAAATTCCATGTTCCAACGTGGCAGCAGTTTCGTGAAGATTTTATAGATTTTAAAGAACAAAGAAAGTCATAAATCAAGGCAATTTTAAAATCCTTTGGTGGGTACCAGGATGGCAGGTACAATGAGACGGGGGAGCTATTTTGTAGGCCTAAGATGCTATCTGGTGTCATTCTTAGCTCTTGCGTTGGTGAAAGCTAGTGCTCTGCTAAGTTAATAGCTTCTAAAAGGTTTGTATTTACTATCATGAGGCATTAGTTCAGATACAGAGTGGAGCAAGGAATGGCTGTTCCAGAAGCTAAAAAGAGCCCGGGATAAAGTAATTAGCCTCTAAACCTACAAAATTCCAATCTCTCCGCATTATTGAAATTCCAAACTGGACCACCAGTCTCTGCAGACACAGAAACTCCTTCCAGGAGGTTTTTGTTCACAGACAGACACAGGTTCTTTTCAGGAATTTTCACGCACACTCTCACACTGTAAATGTGCCGTTTCACAGATACAGATGAGCAGGTTAACCTCTCCATGATGTCAGAATTTATATGTTCATGAACTAGATCTATTTTGTTGGCCATAACTCAGCGATTAGAGGTGCTTTCGCTGGATAATGTGGCACTGGAGATCAGTGTGCTTTTATTCCAATCTAAATTACTAATAGTAACTCTCAGATCACACATTCCGCTTCCTGCAAGGACGTTAAGGCTCAAGAATGGCTACAAATGGGTTACAGAGTTTTCATGGTCCACAGAAGTCCTGTGAACTGCAGAGCCGGCTCAGAGCTGCTCAAGGCAGGGAGTTACCAATGCAGTTCTGATAAAGAAGAGCTTTGGAGGGTCACTTTGAAGTGGGCAAAACAAACTGCCCTCAAGCTGGAGCCAGGGGACGGAGACAACAATCCATCATTGTGGTGACTGTCCTGGATAAGGCTCACAAGTGACCAGGTGACAAGTCACTGACCCTATGACTCAGTCTTAGGGTGCTCCTTGTATGGTCATAAGTGAGAAATTATGTCTGGCGTGTTCAGTAAATTCACAGCCCTGGCTTTTCTGATATGCTCACACGTTCCCAGTGTGCTGCCACGTGTGCATGGGCATGGGGGTAATTTTTTACTTGTGTGAATAAGTTAGCACCTTGTGCCCTGTGGTACATTCGGGATAGGTGGTGACCATTTATTTGCACAGTCAGGATGTACAGTCACCCTATGTCTGCATTTGCATTCAAAGTGGAGCCAGGGCAAGGCACAGCCCAAAGCCACTGTCCCACAGTATGAGACTTAGGACAGAACAGCAACTTAGAACACAGGACACAGCTTGGTCTCCAGGCTTGTCTTATTAAGACAAAAATCAGAATATAAGATGTGTATGTAGACATCGTATCTTCATTATTTCATTAATTAGGTGCCATAGTTTCACCTATCTTTTTTATCTTTATCTGAAGAAATTCAAATATCTGGATAAGCACTGGGAAGCCATCCTTTCAAAGTGTTTGTTGGAGTTCATCAAATTTTTCAAATTAGGAAAGAAAGCGAGGGTATGCAAATATGAGGTGAATTTTAGAGAGGCAACAAGACAATTTATACTAAAAGTAAAAATAAATGAATTAAAAGTTGCAGAGGTGCTTTTGTATTTCATCTATACATTACTGTGAATATGCACAGCAAAAACTTGTAAATTAGATTGTTATTGAATTTGAATTTATGTGATTGTTTTTCATTCTGACACTTCATTTGATGTTATTGAAATCAGTCTGTTTTATGATTATCACTGCATTAAATTCACTCAACAAATAGGCTATTTATTTCATCTTCTGCTGAGATGGCTGGCACCTCTCTCTTTACTCTCCTAGAAGATTTATTAAACCTACTGTATTGTTACTAAGACAGCCGCTCTAAGGTATATAATTTGTATTGGTCTGTATATACATGTGTATGAGTAAAAGAGACAGACAGATAAACAGACAGAAATAGATAGAAGCAGACAGACACAGAAGAAAGAATAACTTGTTCAGATTTAAGTGTATATAAGGCTTTGTGCTTGAGGAAAAAAATACTTTAAGAAACAGGTATTACGGGGCTGGAGAGATAGATTAGTAGTTAATAAGAGCACTGGCTGCTCTTGCAAAGGACCCAGGTTCACACCCACATGGTGGCTCATTACCATCTGTAAGTCTAGTTCCATGGGATCCATGACCCCCTCCTGGCCTCCACGGCATACACATGGTAGACATAAACTCACAGTCACATACACATAATTTTCTCTCTCTCTCTCTCTCTCTCTCTCTCTCTCTCTCTCTCTCTCTCTCTCTCTCCAGGAAAGTATATAAATACAATGAGTTTTAATTGAAAAATATTAAATTTTATTTATATGCTATTTCTGTTCATCAAACTGCTAAAAGCCATTTCTAACTTCCCTTTAATTTGGCACATATTATCTATTTTTAAAATCTTATTTATTATTAATAATAATATTATCTAATTTCCATTTAATTTGGCATATTATCTTTTTAAAAATCTTATTTATTATTATTATTATTATTATTATTATTATTATTATTATTTTGAATGGTTCTCAATATGCACCCCAGCTGGGCTGAAACCCACAATTGTCCTGCCCCATCTTCCTGGATACTAGAATTATAAACGTACACCCCCCAAACCTGACCTATTTCTTTCCTTTGGATAAGGCTAAGTGCCCTAATTTTTAGTCAGTGAAAGTTGCAGTTTCGGTCCACATATCCTGCCAGCAATGTGAAATCTTATGAAAGGAGGCTCTCATAATGTTTGCTGTAGGGCAGCTCTGTAAGACCACCTACGGACTCGAGAAACTCAACCTCTTTTTGTAATACCCAACAGGTGTGCATGTTATCCCTTGTTTTCCTTCTGCGTGGCCCAATTTTTACACAGTGATTTTAATAGAACAAGTTGTTCTCATATCTTTTTAGCTCCAGAATCCTGGATCAGCATCAATAAGCTTTTAATCATCCCAGTTAAGGCGATATAACTTCAAATGAAGGCAATTTATGGGATCTGAATTTCTTTCCTTTTTTATTCCTTTAATAATAAAATTGCATTATTGTAATGAACACACAAATAAAAATACCACACAGCTAGATTAAGGTGCCACTCAAACACTGAATTTCTTCCTCTCCCTCCACCCCCACCACCACCCTTTTTGTGTGTGTGTATTTCTTTGTGTCAACCTGGCCATTCTGGAATTCACTCTATAGACCATGCTGGCCTTGAACTCAGAGATTCCTCTGCCTCTGCCTCCCGAGTGCTGGGATTAAAGGTGTGTAATTTCTTAATATTAAAGCAACATTGAACTTCATAGTCAAATGCTCAGAGGTTGAGAAGAGGTTAAAAAATGTACCTCTTTCATTCACCTACCCTCAATTTCACTAAAGTTTCTAAGTCCTTTTACACTCTAAGCTAGCCTGCTCGTGTTTTGATCAAGCATGTTCCAGATATTTTTCAAGTATCAATAACAGAAGCAGTCCAAAGAAAGCAGAGATGGAAGAAAGGAAGAGAAGAAAGAAAGGGAGGAAGAGGAAACAAAGATCATATAGAAACAACCTGGCAATGTAGAAAGAAAGATGCACTATATTAGTCTATCATCTATATGTAAGTTAGTAAGTGACTAATGCGTGATTTCCAGTGTTCAAGGGCAAAACCAAACATGGGCAGAGGTTTTTAATGGGACACATCATTGTCTTTTGCAAAGTGGATTGGGACACTGGGAATACCTTTTCCATACAGGATTCTATTCAAGTAATCACTATGTAAAGAAAAAAAATTTAAAAAAAATGAAACACCTACATGAAGAATCATACTGGAATATTTGAAGATGCTTTCTTCCTGATGAGGAGTCCCAGAAAGGAAAGTTGGGGAATGCCATACCTTCAATTTGCAGGTCCAACAAGGATGACTTATGGTTCTGGGAAAGCACTAGCTTGTCATCAGTTATTGTCATACTGCAGTAGACTTGACATTCTCATGAGCAGACCATAGGGACATACTACGTTCCTTTTCAGTGAGCAAACGCAGTGTAACGTTGGACAAAGTTTATTACTCCACTGCCAATCCATAGATGATGCTGGAGGATTCATTTTCTGCATCAGTCTCACATGCTCAGGTCTTATTTTACTGGAGGAGAAATCACGATGTTTTTGTCGGTTTTGTTTGTGTTGTAAAGGTCACCACGCTTCTGAGAAGGTATTCTTAGTGATTAGGTGAGTTATTAGAAAAGACAAATGGTGAGAACTCTAACCATGTGGCTGTCTTTTCCTTAGGAAGCTCATCGAGACTCACCTGAAGACCATCCCCAGTCTTGCATTTTCCAATCTGCCCAATATTTCCAGGATGTAAGTAATTATTTTAATATGCAGAGAACTTTGCAGTTGTGACATACTACCTTCTAAATGTGCCCTGTCAAAAAAAATCAATTTCTATTGTACTTGTATAAGTCAATGACATCTGCATTTTTAATGTATTTGAAATTTTTATTTATTTATTTATTTTTTAAATTATTATTTTTTTAGATTTATTTATTTATTATGTATACAGTGTCCTTGCATTCCGGAAGAGGGCACCAGATTTCACTATGGGTGATTGTGAGCCACCATGTGGTTGCTGGGAATTGAATTCAGGACCTCTGGAAGAGCAGTCAGTGCTCTTAACCACTGAGCCATCTCTCCAGCCCGAAATTTTTATTTAGATGATACTTACCTGCTTAGTTACAGCTCCAATTTTTGATCCTTTTAAGTCTAATTCAAATTTAAATTCGTGTGGTCATGTCAAATTCACCATTTTGTGTATTTCAGTATCTCCTCAGATATGACAAAAACCTTAGCTGAGAATCTCCAGACATTTATGTGTCTCTCTTTTATCCGTTCATCCTAGATTTTTGTTGATTCATTTCCACCACTAATAAAATGTAAGCATTTACAATTTGTCACAAATGCAGCCAATCATTTCAGATTTCTCTCACTTAAGAATAAATTGAAAAGCAATTCTAAGCCTTAAAAACAGAGATATGACGTGCAGACAGATGAGAAAAGGAACTCGCACATTAGACTGACAATCACTGTCTGTGTGTAGATTTATACCCATTAGTGATTAACTCTGAGTCACCAATAATCCATTGGTGTCCCATTAAGGAAAGAAATAAAAGCGCTTCCTCCTTAAAATCATTTAACCAAGGGCAAGTTCAAATTTGAATTTTCTTTCTTTCTTTCTTTCTTTTTTTTTTTTTTTTTTTTTTTTTTTTTTTTTGAGACAGGGTTTCTCTGTGTAGCTTTGGTGCCCTTCCTGGAACTCACTCTGTAGACCAGGCCAGGCTGGACTCAAACTCACAGCGATCCACCTGCCTCTGCCTCCCAAGTGCTGGGATTAAAGGCATGCGACACCACCGCCCGGTGCAAATTTGAATTTTCTACTTCATGCTCCCTGTGTCTGCCCGCCTCTGTCTACCTGCTGCTCGAGTCTGAATTAGAGTCTGGTTAGAGGCTGTGTTGATCAGCCCCTGTGTCTTTGTCTTCCATCTGTGTACATCTGGGTGCTCTGTTGTGTGGGTGTGTATCTGTGTGTGTGCATCCCTCTCCGCTCTGCTCTGTATGTATTGGACAGGACAGAAATCATCAATGGGGAAGAAACGGAACTCTTTACAGAAATCTTGGACAGAGTTTTACAAGGATCAAATCACCAACTCCAACTGATCCCAGCTGACCCAGATGATAAACAGTTGCCCCCCCCAAAAAAATTGTTAACCAACCAATATCCATAAATGGATGCTTTTAACTTTTAGGGTAGGTTTTAGGAAGTTGCTTTCAACTTTGGTGTTTGCTGCTTTCAGCAAATAACACACATGTGTTATTCTCGGTCGGGGCATAGAAGAGTACATAACTTAAGATAACTACTATGGATTGTGCTGGGTTGCAAAAGTTGACTCCATAGGAAATCCAAGGCAAGGTCAAGTTGGTTATGACACTGTTCTCTTAAAAGCAGGTGAAACAGGCTGAAGACACAGTACACTAGTGGTCTTAAATCTCAAGTGATCTCAAGTTGTAGTATCACCTTTGACTGTGATATCCAGCAAAAATTCCAGTGTCTTAGAATGTAAGAGATATTTTCGAGATTTTGCATTGCCTCAGTCTGCACATGACATGAGTGAGGTATTTGTACCATTTAGTGGCAGTTCAGGTTAACTCAAGCACAGCCAATAATACCAGGAGCGACCTGGACAGTTCCTGGCTCGATTTATTCCACTTATGGCTATGTGTTGAACATCTTTTGCATCATTTCAATGATTTCTTAGCCAGAATCAACTCTGACATATGACTGTTTGCCAAGACTGTGAAGGAGAATGCTACTGGCCTCTTGAGGGTGGAGGTAAAGGGTGTGGGAGACATCCTCCCCTGTCCTGGATGGTCACACAATAAAGAGCCATTGAGCACAAATTGTCAATGGCACTGAGGCCAAGAGACCATTCTAATTGAACATGTGTGCAGTTGCTAATCAGCCTTCCTTTTTTGTATTCTTGCTTCAAATAAAACAAGGCTGGATGGATAGCTCAGGTGTTAAGAGCATTCGCTGTTCTTACAGAGCACCCAGGTTCAGTTCCCAGTACCCACATGGCAGTTTGCAATGTCTATACAGTTCTATGGTATTGGATGACCTCTGCAGACAAAAGGCACATACATACATGCATGTAAACATCATATACATAAGATGAAAATAATTATTTAAAAATATTTGCTTAAAACTAAAACAATGTGATAACCCTTCCTTAACCCTCTTCATTTCTCACCCTCACTACTATTCCTCAGTCTCTTTTTCCTGGAGTCTCATTTTGTTTAATTTTTGACATGGCTAGTTCTTCCATATGCATTGCATTCTAATTTCTCTATTCTCTACTCTTGTTCAGTCAATACTTCCTTTTTTTTTTGATTTTGCTCTCACCTACTATAGCCATTCATAAATAAATATCGAAGGTCTTGACTCCCTCCTACAGTTCAAGCCTGCAATTAGAACATCACTCCAAATATTGCCACCTCTGATGTCCCACAAGTAGTTTAAATTCAGTCTATCCAAACTAAACAGGCTGCCTTTCTCCATTTCTTCTCCTTTTAAACACACTGTCATTCAGCCTCTTGTGAGCTGCAAGCCTCAAATTCCCCTCTAGTTTTTTCATTGGCCTTGGTGTTCCTTAAACAACTATGTATTTGGTGTCTCTACTTTGGTACCCAATAGCTTGTCGATTCTCTTGTTCACACCTTCACCACATATTTATGGAGCCCTGCTCTTTCCTCATGCTTTACAGAATGCCCCGAAAGCAACGGTAGACAATATTCACAGAGTCTTCCATTTCATTTCCATTAAAGTGATAAGTACCATGATGGGGCCAGATACTGAAAACTGTAGAAACTCATACATGAGACGTGTTCCCAAGTAGGAGGAAGATGAGGGGGCTGAGGAAAGCTCGGAAGAAGAGCATCTCACCTGTGATCCGTGCCAGCTAGCCAAAAGCAGGGGGGAAGATCATTATGAAATAGGGGAAAGTCTGAGCCTTCTGAAGAATTAAAATAAGTTCATTGAGGCTGGAATTTCAGCCACAGGGGAGACCAAATAAATAAATTGAAAAATAGAAACACAACAAACACACACACACACACACACACACACACACACACACACACACACACACTAGACATGGTCAAGAACAGGATCGTTTGTTCCTGTTGTGTGAAGGAATATCAAGTCTTCTATAGAACTAAGCCATTGGATGATTTTAAGCAGGCAAGCAAAATGCTCAAATGTTTACTTTCCAAAGCTCTTGGCTGTGCTGTGGGCATGGGTTAGAATTAGAGTCAACAGGTATTTATTCCACTTCGGCTATGTGCACTTACTGCTCTAAAATTATATTCAAGTGGGAGGAAACAGATAATGATCCAAAACATAATAAAGTAAATTATATGCTTATTTAGATAGAAGAATACATACAAGAAGGGGAAATTGCAAGGTATAATAAGGAATATTGGATGTTCTGGGCACATGCAGGTTCAGGGGAGTGATGTGAATAAAGACTGAGATTTTTAGAAGTCATAAAAAGTCTCAAGCCAGGTGGTGGTGGCACACACTTTTAATCCCAGCACTCAGGAGGCAGAGACAGGTGGATCTCTATGAGTCAGAGGCCAGCCTGGAAGAGAGCGAGTTCCAGGACAGCCAGGACTACGCAGAGAAACCCTGTCTCTAAAAACAGGCTCAAGTACAAGAGGAAGGCTGTAGGATGGGAGATGGTAAAGGGAGAAACAAGAACAACTTTAAGAGCTTCTGGTCCTTGAGGAGGTGGAAGAGGACCACAGGCAAACAGAATTAGGTGATGTAAGAAAACAGTCCTTTCCTCCACTGTCACGACGAAGTTATTGGTGGATAATTCAAGGAATTTCTATCTCTGGTTTCAACCTCTTCTAGAAGAAGTTTGTCTGCTAAGATGGGTGATGAACAGCCAGAATTTGAAATACTATATAATAAAGAATAGGCAGATAGGAGGAGGGGCGACTAAGAAATAGATGATACTCGTGAAGATTTGAAAGTCTCAATGAGGCATCCCCCAGGGAGCCAGCATTGGATTTACTGGCCTAAGATTTCCTGTACCTTCAGAGCAATTAATACTTGCTGCATTAATCCCACTTGATAGTCTGCATCTCCCAGTTCTGTGAGTTCCTTGAAGCTAAGGAACAAGTCTGTTTTATTAATGCCTAGAAAAATATCTGACATAAAGTAAATGTTCAATAGATATATATACTGTGTACACACACAGTAATAATAATTAAAGCTGTAGTGTATCTCAGGGGAGGCAAGTGGAGATCACCAAGATGACCCTAGGTTTTCTCGGTAAATTAAAGATATCCAGCAGTTATTCCGGCAAATGTTTTAATAAGAGAAAAGTACCCTAGTTTGTATAATAGGTTGTATAGTCATCATAGTAATTGAGTAACATTCAGGTAGGCAGAATGAGCATCCCCTCTGAAAATTCAGTGGGAAATGTGGGGGAAAGGGCATGAGGCAAGCATAGGGAAGTAAGTTGCCAGTCTTCAGAATCTTGCTCCACTTGCACCCATGAAAAATTCTCTATGGTCCCTAAACAGCAAATTCATCCTATGAAAAGTGTTCTGAGATAATGTTTGGATCAAAACAATTTATGTATTGCTGCTTAGCCACAAAGGACAACGGGCTGGGAAACCTGATAAATCAAAGTTGTTTGTTTATAGAATAAATAATTCCAAACAGTCAGCACAGGGCCACCAGAATAGTAACAGACAACAAGTACTGCCCCTCTTCTGAAGAATGTCACTTAGTTACAGTTACCAAGGAAGCTTTTCAAAAAATGTAAGTACTTGGCCCAGCTCTCATAACCCTAAATCAATGATCCTGGGATGGTCTTGAACATCAATGTGTCCAGTTTGTTCAATTCTATGTTCAGGGCTGAGAATCTCTGTTGTGACTATGTTAATCATTCATTTTTCCTAAATGTCATAGAAGTACCTCTCAGTAGACTATGGTCATTGAATCATCTAAAACAACATAGCTTACATACACATTCACAATTGCTCATATAAAGGAGTATCTCTCTTTTTCCCTCTTTAAGTACCAAAATTGTTTATTTGCATAATATTTTGCTTAATAATTTCAAGACAAATCCTGACTTTGCAGTTTCATTCAAAATCAAAAAGATAGGTCTTAAGAGAGAATGTAGTCTATCCTGTTCTTGACCATGTCTAGTGTGTGTGTGTGTGTGTGTGTGTGTGTGTGTGTGTGTGTGTGTGTGTGTTTGTGTGTGTGTTTGTTGTGTTTCTATTTTTCAATTTATTTATTTGGTCTCCCCTGTGGCTGAAATTCCAGCTCCAATGAACTTATTTTAATTCTTCAGAAGGCTCAGAAAGAGCTATCAATCTGTCAATCCTGTCCGTGTCCGGGCCGGGTGAGGTTTCCCGCATTAGTGATGAACTCTGATTACCAATAATGCATTATGTCACATTAGGGGAAGAAATAAAAATCTCTTCCATGTGGAGCCATTTAACCAAAGGGAGTCCAGACTTGAGTTCTCTACTTCATGTTCTCTGTGTCTTACGTCCTCTGTCTGTCTGTTAAATGAGTCTTAATCTGTGCCTGCCTGAGCCCTGTCTGACTGTCGGTGAATCTGCCCCGTGTCTCTGTCTGTCTCTGTCTCTATGTGTGTATATGTGTGTTGTGTGTCTTTCCCTCACAAAAGGTTTCACTCTATCTTTATTGAACAGCCAGAAAGCATCATATGGGGAGGAATGGGCAACTTTACATGAATCTTTAATTAAGTTTTTACTAAGTACTGTCACTGGCTCCAGCTGATCCCAACTGACCAAATAACAAACACTGTTTATCAACCAATATCCATAAATGGATGCTTTCAACCTTTATGGTAGATTTTAGAAAATTGCTTTCAACTTCTGTATTTGCTGCTTTCAACAAATAATACACATGCATTGTTACAGGACAAGGACAAGGAAAAGCACATGATTTTTGTTGTTGTTGTTGTTGTTTTTAAAGACAGGGTTTCTCTGTGTAACAGCTCTGGCTTTCCTAGAATTCACTTTGTAGGCCAGGCTGGCCTTGAACTTACAGGGATCTGCCTGCCTCTGCCTCCCAATTGCTGGGATTAAAGACATGTGCCACCACACTCTGCTAAAAAGCACATAATTTAAGGTTACAGCTATACATTAGCTTAGGTTGTAAAAGTTGATTGCATGGGAAATCCAAGGCAAGGAAGGCTGGTTGTCACATTGTTCTCTTAAAAGCAGGTCAAACAGGCTGAACACACAGAAGGCTAGTAGTCTTTAATCTTAATTAACTTCAAGGTGTATTGTTAACTTTGGCTGTGAGGTCAAGCACAAGTTCCAGTCTCTTAGAATATAAGAGATATTTTCAGAATACTGCATCATTATCATAGTCAACACCCTTCGGAATGCTCTTAATTCTTTGGAAATTTCATTTCTATTCCCTTGCTTTTAAGCCCTTTATTTAAAATGCTTCTTATGCACTTCAATGTTCTTTTCTGACGCTTTCTGGTTTTGCTATTTTGAGTAACACATCTACTCATCTATTTACTTATGTATTCACTCAGCATATATTTACTGAGCCTGATTAATGCTAAGAACTATAAAGGCACTCATAATTCAATGGTCAAAAGCAGTCACAAACCTCCACATTAGATAATTTACAGTCTAATAACATGACATAAAACAAATGCTACCCAAAGATGCACTGTGATTATCTATGAAAGAGATGTTCATAGTGCTGTGAAGGTGCACTATGGTAATTTTAGCCTCTTCAGGAAGCTGGTAGTGAGTTTCTGAAGAAAGTGACATTGGAGGCCTGCAGAGGTATGGAACATAAAGTATTGGGAAATTTTAGACATACTGGGATCTGGGGAAAAAAATGTAGCTAGTCTACACATGTGATTTGTGCATGGCCTAAGCTTTAGAAAGGCCCTAACAAAGAATTTATTTTTTTTAAAAAAAAAAGGTATGTTTGAAAGACAGATGTGCTGGTACATATTTATAAATCCGGGTACTCTGGAGGTTAAAATAGATGGCTATCTGGGGATAGCTGGCCAGCCAGCCTAGTTTACTTAGGTGCCTCACACCAGTGAGAGACCTTGTCTGTAAAAGCAATGTGGATGACATCCTGAGTTATAATAGTCAAAGTTTCCTCTATCCTATACACACACACACACACACACACACACACAAATACACTTGTTCATCCGCACACACCTGCATACACATGAACACATGCATATATGTACATAAAAAATAGTGTGCTTATATCACAGACACTCGCACATCAGTGTTTATTGTCACACTTCTCACACTACTGAAATTATGGAACCAACCTGAGTGTCCATCAATCGGAGTGGATAAGAAAATGTGGTTTATAGACACAATGGAATTCATTTCAGCCATAAAGAACAGAAGGTGAAGACAACTGAAGACCATCATGTTAAGTGAATTAAGCCAGTCTCAAAAAGACACATACTGCAAGTGTTCTCTCATTTGTGCATCCTAGACTTTATAGATAACATAAAGTCACATATATGCAGATAACATGGAAATAGAAGCAATGCCGTCCAGGGGAACAAAGAGGTCCAATGGGGAAGGGGTGGAGCGAGAAAAGGTAGAGAGCAGCGGAATACAGGGGGATGTTCTGAAAGCACATCGCATACTTGCATTATAATGGCACATGTAAACCAACATGATAAAACGAAATAGAATGTTTGGAGTTCCTTGCTAACTTTCTACTTTGTCTTTTTTTTTTTTTTTAAATGTTCAGCTATTTATCTATAGACGCAACTCTGCAGCGGCTGGAACCCCATTCTTTCTACAATTTGAGCAAAATGACTCACATGTAAGTACAAGGAAAAGGACAGAGTAGAGCCGAACCACAACCGCCATTAAAAGTATCCTTTTGCATTTGTTTATTTTATTTTTTTGTGGTGTCGGGTGTGCCACGATATGCATTCATAGGTCAGAAGACGACTCACAGAAGTCCATTCCTTCCTTTCTCCACGTGGGTCTGGGAGACAGAACTCAGGTCATCAGACTCAGTAGCAAGTACCCTTATAGGCTGAGTCATCTCACCAAACCCACAAACAAAGTTCTTGAGAATTTGGCAGCATTAGACTTGAAGTAAAGTTACCGCTAAAGGGAATGATTAGGAAAAAGAAAGATGGCCCCATCAGGCCATATATTCTGTACAGAAGAAGATGAACATCAGCAGAGGCGGTAAATAGGTGGATGAATATAGATTCTGACTGTGTAAAACAAAACCAGTGGAATTTAAAATACAGGCAACCCATGCTCTGCACAGTAGTCTGGCATCCTAACATCCTAAAACTATGCAGACTGGAACTAGGTAAAGGAACTCAACTACCAAAAAGAAAAGTTTGAGGACTTTGTGACATTTAAAATTTTTGTCAAAACATCATTAAAATTTGTCTTACTGTTGCAAACACAGAATGAAAGAAAAGATAGTAAATCCAATATTGTTTGGATGCACAATTTAAGCATCAAAAATATTTAGAATTATAGGATTATTGGGTTATAAAAGTTTATTAAGAAGTTTAAACTGTGCTTGCCCATTTTTT